TTAGATAATCCATCTTGGGTGCCCAGTTATGGTGTAAGTCTACCCCTTAATATTGGGTGAATGTGTTTATTTAAATACTACCTGGCCATACTAATATCTTACAATATATCGGTCATTAAGAGAAAGAGATATATATTTGTTAATTTTATTTCCATGCCTATGTGTGCAATTGGATTTAATGTCTCACTGCTCAATTACATGTATATCAATGGACTGGCCTTTATTTTTTTTGTCCCTTCTGAACAACTAGACATAATTTACTTGACAACCCTGCAAGAGTGACCTTGGAAGATTGTTCTCAAAGACCACATGGGAAATGAAATCCATGACAAAACTGGGACTGTGGATTATTTGTCATTGGTACAAAAACAATCATTTCTCAGCCAGACATCACTTCTAAATAAAAAAAACCTGGTACTTACAGAAAGAGAGAGAAATAGGGTTTAACGTCCACTCAACACAAACTAGGTCATATTAGGACTAACACATGGTTCAATTTTATTTCAGTAATTCACTTGCACGTAGGGCTCTTTATCAGTGGGAGGAAACCAGAGGACCTGAAGAAAACCCACGAGGTTGGACAGGCAACCCTACTCCTTGTCATGTAAAACTTTGGGAATTGAAACCATGCCAGTTGACTCAATGACAGACCTTACGATACAGCGCGCACATGCTAACCATTTGGCCATCCAACACCCCCCACCCCCACCCCTGTCTTGTTTACTAATGCAACACGGTTTCCTTGTGCTGCAGAATATACAAGCAAGTCACTAAAAATAACCAATGCAATCAATGGACTTTAAAATTTAACAAAATTTACATGAAATTACAGATAGAATACATGTATGTCATGGCTGAATATTCTTTTATGAAATTCCACATAGTATATTAAGAAGGTCCAATGTATGTCATGGCCGAAAATTCTTTTATGAAATTCCACATAGAAGATTTAGAAGGCCCAATGCATGTCATGGCTGAAAATTCTTACATGAAATTCCACATAGAATACTTAGAAGGCCCGAAGTTGTTAAGGCTTTTAACAGACTATCGCTACCTACAGGAAGGACAGTACATATAATTGGTTAGAATTTTCTTCTTAAACAAAATGGCGGACCAAAGTCAAAATGAAGACAGTTCTTTAAATAACTGGTAGCCAGGATAGATCCATGAGGATCAGAGTTATGAGATCGGTTTGTTTTATTCTGTCATAATTATTGCCACTCCAAATTTATCAGTCAACCAATTCAAAATGGTTGAAATGTTTTGATTTTTTTCAAAAACTACAGGTACAGTGTATTATAAGGTTGCAATACATACACAGTAAAAAGAAAGTCCTGACAAAAGACATAATTATGTATATACTTACATGTATGTGATATTAATATAGTGGAAAGAAACTAGGTCACAAGCTACTTTTAGAAAATCCTTTATAATAATAACTATTTTTAAGAAGGCTTTGCATCCAAATATCATGCACATCCTACTTTTCAAAATCTTTTTACACGAGTGACAAAACAGGACTTTTCTTTAAGATACATTATGTAAGATTTAAAGATACATTATGGGAGATTAGATAAATAGCTCGCAGTTCTCACTATAATAGTTAAAAACTAGATAATGTAAAGGGAAATTGCTGAAAATTTCAGTCAAACTAATCCACTCTGAGCCGAGAATTTAGCGATTGAATTTTCAGCCTAGCCTCAGTCATCAATCATTACTAAAGTCGGTACGATAAAAAACATAGTCTCGATTATCCATTTCATGATTAAATCACGAATGGACAGCAAATCGGAACCTAATCCAATAAATAAACGTCACAGCCTACCGAAGTCATCGAGAGTTGTTATGGTCTTGTTTCATTAATAAATGTCTAATTTATATCTTCTTTGATTGGCATTTAGTAATTGAACATATTAACACAAGATACAATTTTATGGATACACGATTACTGAGTTTGATATTGATGACGTTTCGACGAGGATACTCTCATCTTTATCAAGTAAATGATAAAGTATGCTTAGGTTCGTTTTCGGACGTTAAACCTCATTTCATTTCGGTCTCATTAGAATATTTTATTGCTGTCATTAAAAAGTCTCTTGATGTAATGTAAGATAGCCGAAAACGAACCTAAGCCTACTGTATCATTTGCTTGATAAAGACGAGTGTATCCGCGTCGAAATGTCGCTTAATATCAAACTCAGTAATTGTGTATCCATAAAATTGTATCTTGTGTCTAATTAATAAGTTAGAAAACATTTCAGACCTAAAGAAAGACTCACAATAGGTAGATTTAGCTCTTGCATAATGTATGTTTAAATATTGAGCTGAACATTCTTGCTCTAGTTTCACAATAGATAATCCAAAATAACGCCTGGAAATAAGGCACCTGTCATTTTGTCCGACAATGATTTGTCTTTTTTATTGATATTATTAATACATGTCCAGCACTAAGTTGAAAATGTCCGGTACTATTTCATTAGTGCCTGACATTATGTCAGGTACATCTACAACCGTTATTTCCAGGCCTGTCCAAAATTAATATAGAACATTTCATTTAAATCACGTTTTTTCTGAGCTTAGTTACCACTGTTTGAAGTTGTGACAGATTGTTTATTATCGTAGCATTTATTATCGCTTCTCCATTTTTAAATTAAATCATTTTTATGGCAATTGTATTTTAATACATTTACATCTGTGTCATCCGATATAACATTTGAAGCCAAAATAAAAACCTGTAATAATAGGCAGAGTTAGCTGTTACATAATGCACCAATAACAACTCCAATATATTGGCCTAGGTTTAATTAAATGTATAGCAGTGGGAGAGTGTGGACGACAAATATTACACAATATTTATGCACAAATTAATCAAAACATTGCAGACCAGAAATTAGATCAAATATTAGTTTTTTAATCACTCAGTAAAAGATTTATACTTTGATATGAACTACAGTAACAACTCAGTTTTACTCTTAATCTTAAAATTTAACAACTAAATTTGCAAATGAAATTCTACATTATAATATATATAATTTGTCATGGTAAAACATAAAAGTATTACAAATAAATATAGTTTTGGCAATAATATACCCGAGAGAGAGAGATGGGGTTTAAAGTCCACTTCACATAAACTAGGTCATTTTGGGACCAACATCGTTCAATTCTCTTTCAGTAATTTGATTGTGCGTAGGGGTCTTTAGCACTAGCAGTGGAAGGAAACCAGAGGACCCAGAGAAAACCCCCCCGACGTTGGACAGGTGACCCTAATCCTTGTAACGTACAACTGGGGAAACAAACCACGCCAGTTGACTCAATAACACCGGTAATAGGAAAATTAATGAAATGAAATGGGGTTTAACGTCATACAATTCTGCTCCAACTGGGCTAAGACGGGCATACGAGTGAAATTTTGCTTTGACACTGGCGTGCTATCTTTTACATGCACGCCAATGTGTACAGAAGACTGTTTTTTCCATCCCATCCGAATTACTAGACAGCTGTCTTTGTCAGACCCTCCGTCCTGCACCACAAGGGGAAAACAGCAGAAAATCCCTATTAACTTTCTCGGCTAACGAACCAGCTTCTTGCGCACTTAGCCACTGTGGCTCCAGAAAAATTAATAGGGACCCAGAGAAAAACTGTAATAACATTACGAAGTTTTGCTCTTAAAATTCATAACTCTTTTCTGTCAAGATAACCTTATTATAGATACATTATAGGAGATTAGATAAAGAGCTGACAGTTCTCACTACAATAGTTAAAAACTAGATAATGTAAAGGGAATTTACTGAAAATTTCAGTCAAATTGATCCACCCTGAATCAAGAATTTAGTGATTGTATTTTAGGCCTAGCCTCGATCATCATTTCTTTAATCAATACGATAAAAACATAATCTTGATTATCTTTTTTTTGATTTAATCATTAATGGATTTGTAATCCAGTAAATATCGAAGGCTAACGATGCCATGTGACATAGACACATAGAATGACTCAAACTAAATAAAGAAAAACACAGCCATGAACTTATCAGACAGCAGTGAACACTCAATTGGGATCACATGGTTTTGCACATTTTCTTAGTGTGCCATTCAAAATTTCGCGGCACACTGAAAATCTTGCAACACACTGGTTGAGAATCACTGCACTAGACAGTTAAAAAGATAAAGGACCTCTGATTTGGGGAAAAAATTGATTTGGTAGATTTATGATGTCTTGATTTGTTTTGGAAAAGTGGATGATTCATTTGAGGTGTTTTAGTGACCTACTGTCTTCAAGTATTTGTTAAACCGTTTCTGAGCTGGAGATGAATAGGCCTATATATCAATTTGGAACTCATCAGTATCAGTTTTGATGCCAAAACATTTGATTCTTTTCCACTGCTTACACTCTACAAACTTATCCTGTTAGAAGTAGAACAATTAATTTTACATCACATTAATTGGCAGCCTTTCTTAATTCTAATCATAAAATATTATTTTCAATTCATAAATAATGATTTTAATCAATAGGTTATGAGAATGACAAATGACCTCAATTGAGCACCATCATATTAGCACATTGCAACCTCTCCTCTTCACTGCATCGAGTGCCGAATCGCTTCTCAACAAACACAAACTCGAGCAAATTTACGAAATATGAATCGGGACTGTGACATTTCAATTTATTTGTCAGGATTGACATTGCAATGAATTAGTGATATGTTTGCTATACTGTTGTAAACGATCGTACAACACTTCTGGAAAGCCAAGTCCTTTCTGAGTGACTGTTGTTGTTGACACACTTTCGGCCGACACCACTACTTCCTCTCTCCGCCCAGCCAGACGATTTTTAATTCACGCGGAATGCTTTGACAAAGGCTTTTACGTTGTGCTAGCTTCCATCTTTCTATTTGGAATAAATGGGATAAGAGCCCGTTGCTCTATTATGACATGAATTGCCTCGAATAAAACTTGGATATCTAGAAAAGACAGAAAGCTGAGAAGCAAAGTGTTCAATGTACCTGTTCCCTTCCTTCATTGGAGGCCGCCATCAAAATACACCATTGTACTGCGCATGCTCAGTCAGCTATTCAGTGGACCAAAATTTCCCGCGCTTTCGTATTCTAGTGTTTGCTCTCTCAGGAAAGGGATGTAGCATAGCAAAACATTGTCTCAGGGAGGGTTATTGTTTATTAAAATATAGTTTTGGAAGATGCGTATAACGACAGGGGTCTATTTGTGTAATCACCCAAATTATATATTTTAACTGGGATAGGAATACAGGATTTTTGCAAATAAAAGGGAACTGTAGGGCCTAAAGTGCACAGTCTTCGGAGGGCAAACATATTTTTGACGTTTTCTAGTGATCATTTCGAGAAAAAAAAAAACTCACTGAAAAGTAGACTTAAAAGTGAAATTTATTACTTGTTACATTTAAAGTGTGATATTCTCTTTTCTGTTGATCATGCAATATTGGCATTTGGGTTGGTGTCAGTGGCGTAGGTATTAGCGTGAACCTTGTAAGGTCCAAGGTTATTAGCCTATAATATCTCCCAGAGATGTAAGAAAAGAACGAAAACCCAGTAGAGCGAACCAAATAAATATTTATTCTAGCTCTTTGTATCTGGATAAACGCAAATAATACCATTTCCCTTTTATAGGATAAAGTAGGGATATGAAATAGCCTAATGGCAACTCAATTAGTATGAAAATTGTTTTTTTTGTGCTGAACATAGGCATATAGGTAGCCTATATATATATAGGCAATTAAACATCATTAAGGCATAATATGGTTGAATTTTATGAGATATAACTGACCAGACAGGCGAGGGAAGACGAACAAATTTCTTGATGATGATAATTATTTTGTAACCTACGAAATGATCGGCCACGCCCCTAAGCTTATCCTCAACCCGGCATTGCATCCGAAGTGCTGTTCCGACAGTCAGGAACAGTTTGGGAACGCACTACGAGTATCCTAAATGCGCTGATAGATAGGTAGATCAATGAAGAATAGGGATATTTAACAAGTTTATGCACAATTGACAAATAAATTGATGAGGATAATATAACAATACTATTTCGATCCCTGCATAGACCGAGAAAGTTCATCGGGATTTTCCGACGTGGTTTCCCCTTGTCAGTGGTGCAGGACGGAGGGCCTGACAAGCACAGTTGTCTGGTCTTTCGGATGGGACGAAAAACCGAGGGTCCGTATGTATACATTGGAATGCACGTAAAAGATCCCTTGGCAGTTGGAATTCGATATAAGAGCAGGCCCGCCATAGTGCTACTTCCCGGGCAAAATTTCCCTCATAACACACTGTATGGCGTACGCCCGTCTTCATTAGCCCAAATCGAGCAGAACAGTAGGACGTTAAACCCCATTTCATTTCTGTTATAACATTGTAAACCGCAGGCTTTTAATCCCAAGAATTATTCCTACATAAAGTAACTGGCGGGGTTTCGATTCCCCGGTTGTACGTGACAAGGAGTAGGGTCGCCTGTCCAACCTCGTGGGTTTCCTCCCACTGCTAAGGACCCCTACGCGCTAGCGAATTATTGAAATAAAATTGAAGCATGTGTTAGTCCCGAAATGACCTAGTTTGTGTCGAGTGGACGTTAAACACCATTTCTCTCACTCCCTACATAAAGTTAGGCCCTATCTCTTTCCCAGAATCGTTCAGAAGGTACGGGAAGATGAGGTCTCGCGTACACACATTGGCGTGCACGTAAAGGAACGCGATGCGGCACCGGTTTATTTATTAGGAAAACTTGCCGCTTCTAAAATCAAGTTCTTAAAATTGCGTCGTTCACAGAGTCTGTAGAATTGTCAGTGCAAAGTTGTCCTTGTTTGAAGAAAAACGGATAAACATGAAAGTAAAACAGCTTCAGACTTTGAATTTGTATGATAAAACATTCTTCAAAGGCGTCGTCATGGGCAACGCCGTTGGTAATCCGGGAACTTGAAAGTAGTTCCAATGGCGGACTTCGTCATACAGCCGAGGCTAGATGTAGTGTAGGCTACTGGAATCTGCCAAGTGTAGCAATTGGACTGCGGTATCATACATTGTCTTGTTGTTCTTAGTGTTTAGCGTCCGCTTCCACCGAGGGTGATATCACATACAGGTTTGTTTTATTTCCATTTGTATCAGGCCCGCAGCCAGGGTCGGCAATTTTTTTTCGGGGGGGGGGGGGCAAAAATTGCCGACCATAGCTCTAAAATACCTACCGTAGACTGTGCCGGGTGTGCCCCCCTAAAAACTTCACTGCCCCTCCGAAGCTAGCAAGCTGGCTACGGGCCTGATTTGTATTAGGCCTATCTTATTATATTACCAGAGCCACGGTGGCTAGTTGGTTAAGACGCTGGCTCGCTAGCCTGGAGGTCGGGTGTTCGATCCCTGCATTGGCCGAGAAAGTTCATTGGGATTTTCCAACGTGGTTTCTCCTTGTCAGTGGTGCAGAACGGAGGGCCTGACAAGGACAGCTGTCTAGTCATTCGGATGAGACGAAAAACCGAGGTCCCGTGTATACATTGGAATGCACGTAAAAGATCCCTTGGCAGTTGGAATTCGATATAGGAGTAGGCGATAGTGCCGCTGTCCGGGCAAAATTTCCCTCATAGCACACTGTATGCCCGTCTTCATTAGCCCAGTATAGGAGCAGAACAGTAGGACGTTAAACCCCATTTCATTTCATTTCATTTATTATATTACCCGGAATAATCCTCACTAGGTTGAAAAGGCGCCCCTATCTCCAAGCCACATGCGCTCACACTAGGGATTGAAACCACGACCGCATGCCTGAAGTAACCGACCCAGTGACGGCGCAAAGTCAAAGGATAATGGGGCAAAGGCGCGAGTTTCAACTAGGGGTATCGGGGCGGGGGGGGGGGGCGTCCCCAGAAATTTTTGAAAAATTAACTGGCAGAAATGCAATCGTTGGGATAAATAGAGCTTACCAGATACCGTCTGACGACAAATCACTAGTTTACCCGATTAGAGAGGAACGTGTCAAACGAACCGAGTGAGTGAATCAAGGTGAATGAATATTTTCGCGACGATATTTTAAGAAATAGATTGCCGGAAATGCAGTCTAGCAGTATTTCCGACACTGGTCGACGAGATAATAGAGCTGACCATATACTGTCTGTCGACAAAACACTAGCTTATCCCAACAGAGAGGGAGGTGTCAAACGAACGGAGTGAGCGAATCAAAGTGAATACATATTCTCGCCGCGACGAAACTATAAAATGCACATCTCAAGTGGTTAACGTGTTATTGTTTATAGTAGGTTTACAATAGGATGGTTTCGGTAAGAATGCCCCACCCACCCACCCCTTTGCGCCGCCATTGAACCAATCAGCTAAAGGTCGAAGCGCGACAATCTAGAATACTAGATCATCCCACACTCTAATGCATTCTGGTAGAACAAATTTAAATATACCCATCGTATTAATTAGCCTACTATAACTTCTTTCTGATTTCCATCTGGGGTCATTTGACTCCGGTGTCTTTTATTGCGGCTCAATTGGCAAGGTCGTTGAGGTGTAAATAAGGATAGAGCACGTGATTGTTGACGAGATTGTAAGTTAGGGTTAGGGTAAGCTTTGGGTCTAGGTCCAGGGTTAGCGCTAGCCCTGTTTACATCTCGTGACCTATGACTAAATATTGAGCTGGCCTTATCATTTAGTACTTAGCACTAACCCTTAAATATTATTGCATATTTTTACCATCTTCATTACTTTTTGTTTGTTTTGTTTTTAAAGTTTATTTACTAAATATAATATATGTACACTCATATAAGCATGAAAGTAAATATCCTACAGTGCAATATAGGCCTACATACGTTTGAAGATTTAATTTAACATGTATTCACATTTGCCTATAATACATAAAATACGATTATATAATATAAACAATGGGATATATTATACTGCAATATCAAAGGGGGTATGGATGGCCGAATGGTTAGCACGCGCGTGCTGTATCATACGGTCTGTCATTGAGTCAACTGGCGGGGTTTCGATTCCCGGTTGTACGTGACAAGGAGTAGGGTCGCCTGTCCAACCTCGTGGGTTTTCTCCGGGTCCTTCGGTTTCCTCCCACTGCTAAAGACCCCTACGCGCAAGCGAATTATTGAAATAAAAAAAAATTAAACCATATGTTAGTCCCGAAATGACCTAGTTTGTGTCGAGTGGACGTTAAACCCCATTTCTCTCTCTCTCTTTGCAATATCAAAGGTTTAAATACATATAACAATTAATTATAAAAGGATATTGGTCTTTGTATCTTAAGCGGTAAATAAGTGGTCAACACCCGTGGATCTAAGTTGTCATTAGCAATTAGTGCATGAAGGTAGAACGTTATTAAACACCATTTCCATTTGTTTATATCATAACTTGACCCGCCCAATAACACAATCTGTATTTGGCCTATACGCTCCAATAAACAAAGTTATGGAGATGTGCTAAATGTCATCATGTCGTCAATTTGGAGAAATGAAATGGCGTTTTAAATCCTATACTGTTCTACACCAATCGTTGTGTTGGGGACGACAATTTAAGAAAATATAACGAAGATCGTTTCATACACTGTGTTATTTAAAATTAGTATGATATATAAAAAAACCAAAAAAACAACGCAACCTTTAGAATTATTTCAATAAATGCACATACATTTGAAATGTCTAAACACAATAGATTGTTAGCTATAGATTCTATATCAGTGGTTCTCAACCTTTTTTTGCTAATGGCACACCTGGAACACACGAAAAAAATAGCGGCACACCTGGCTAAATATATATATCAAAATTATTTGAAATTTGAAATTTGCAAAATAAAATCGTTGTTGTAAGTCAGGCGGAATACAACCGTAGACAGAGACTAGTCATAGACACATAGAATGACTCAAACTAAATAAAGAAAATCACAGCTATGCACTTATCAGTAGACACCAGTAGTGAATACTCAATTGGGATCACGTGGTTTTCTTAGTGTGCCGTTCAAAATTTCACGGCACACTTAGGAAGATCTCGCGGCACACAGGTTGAGAATCACTGCTCTATATATTGGTCT